GACTACCTCTAACGTCATTTGAGAGAACTCCACTATCACAAATCCGTAATTGATCGATTAGCGTTACTTCACGAGAGCCTGAAAATCGTGGTTAAATCAAATTAATAATAGCAATTTACCGTGGAACGTACAAGTCAAGCCGCGAATGGATCGTCGAACCCGACGTCCTCGAAAACAAAGCCCTCTCGCAAAAAAAAAAAGTTCTATTCCACGTTTTCGATTAATTTTTCAATTCAGAATTACTTCCCTCTCGACGGTACCGCTCATCGCGGAACGTTCCGTATAACGAGTAACTGTTCTCTGAATATAAATAGTGTAATATTCAACAAACCGAACAAAAAGTATGACGGAGATAAAAAGGAGAGGTCGTAATGAAGAGAGTAGCGAAACGGCAGGAAAAAAAACTATGAAACAGTGTGGGAGAGGCAGGTGGAGCGTGGAGTGGGAGAACTGCAAATGAAGAATACAAAGAAACCGGAGGAAACTAAAGGACAGAGGAGAGACGAAAGTGAAAGAAGAAAAAAAAAAGGGCGGGGGAGGAAAGAAAGAAAGAAAGAAGGCGGAAGGAAAATGAAAAGAACGATGACGGGCAAGTCCGCGGGAAGAGAAGCGAGAAGAGAAGCGAGAAGATCGATAAGGAGAACGAATATCCGCGGAGAGTGTGTTGGACGCAGATAGCAGCAGATCAGCGCGGGAGAAAAGTTCCGTAATTTACCAAATGCCAGTCTACCGCACCATGCAAATTCCTCGCCGTCGGAAACTCAACCGAGATTCGAAAACTTACTTCCGACGATGAAGGTTAATCTCGACGGGCCGCGTCGAAGGAAACGGGGCGAAAGAGCTTACATATTCGGAACACTCGCTCTAAATTTCCCCGGCGAACAGAGGAGGACCCTCTCCTCTGTCGTCGATTATTCAAAATTACGAATTCTGATCGAACAGTCTTCGCCGTAGCTAGAAAGTTAATGTCGCCCAGACTTCGCCCGAGCGGAAAGGGCTGCGGGGGCCAGACCCCCAACCCTGCGCCGGGAGGGTGGCGAAGAACGATCTGAAGGTAAATGTTGATTGATCCATTTTTCCCGAAATGTTTGCAGTCTGGCGTCAAACAAATCCGCGG